GATTACGAGTTATCGCCCGTTGAACAATCGACATGGTTTTCACACACTTAATCGTAAAATTAATTAATATGTGCTATCTGTTTGTTGCTGTTATCAATAAAAACTGATCTGTTCATATGGTTTACACTATTCTATATGCACACAGCTATGTAAGGTTTTTAATCACATAACTGAAACCTCAGCTGTTTATATTTATCAAAGATAATTCTAATCACTGGCATCATGTGATACACATGTAGGGTAAAGTTGAATTCACAACCTTGAGCCTTTTATGTAGAGAAAACAGTGTTGATAACATTTCTCATCGATATGTCTGCTGTTATCTATATGAATAAATATACATAGCCCCAGAAACGTTATCCTTTTAAACTTTTTTGGTTGACACAAAGATCAATATCAACAAAAGCTTTGGAATATTTTCACTATGGAATAAAAAAATAACCCAACGATTTGACAGTCACCGATGTTTATTTTCATATCCCCGTGGCACATATGCTATACACTTAGTACAGTGTAGCCGACACATTTTTAGTTTACACAAGAAAACCTGTAGCATTAAAAGTGCAGTCCAATGATGATAAAAGGCACATCGGATACATTTTTAGATACTTTTGTTATTCTTCGACGTAAGGCAGAGGATAAAACGTACTATTAAGAGATTGTAATTTTATATGGATATTCCAAGTTCCTATCAAAAGGCTTGCCGGTCTACAACTAAAGACACCCCAAATAATCTGATGAAAACAAGTTTTTAAATTGTGGTTTCATTGCATAAATACAATATTTAAATACATTAACGCTACGTAGAGAATAAGAGAGAGTTTTAAAATCTTTTTACCAAAAATGTGACTTAGGCAGTTAATAAAGAAGGGCTCATTTAGGATCAAAAACTCAAAACCTGTATCACATATCTGCTGAATCTTATCCCTGTGATAACTAAAAGTGTTATAAAAAGATACAGGGTAATTTGCAATGCAAACTACATGTATAAGCATAACGTATACAGGTGGTAATAACTGATAACATTAAGATGTATTCTATAAGTTAAACTGTAGAGAGAATGTCGTTACCGTATAGCAAAATATTTCTGCGGGCTTTAAATTTATGCGATTTCACGGGTCAATAACGTGATCACTATATCAAAGTTCATAACCGGAATGTCGCCCTGAAATAGCACACATGTGGTTGTCACGATTCATATTCATCAGAAGTATTACCGGATGTTTGAAAAAAGATTATATTACACGTTATTATTTTGTTGATAAATTGTTTAACAAAATACACAACCTTGTTGCTGCTCAATATAATATATTAATTTGACAAATGACACTTTATATGCCGGGTGTCCTCTGGACGGCAAACTTTTCAAAATTATTGGGCGTTAGTGAATCACATATTATATATATTATATTCAGTCATATCTTACAGTGTAGACTAAAGTGTTCAGAGCACTTTGCTCCTTTTACAAGACGTTACGAATACTATTTCCATGCCAACAACACTATTAAAGCAACACGTACGAACAACAACAACCACAACAACATAAAGAACACTACAGGTACGCAAAAGACAACATGATTTAAACGCAGTGTCCAAGGTCATCAGAAAATGAAGTACCAATATTCAAGATATAAATATTCAAAACAAATAAAGGAAATCTATCACAGACACAAGTTTGTTGTGTTTCTTATATCAAGTGCAAATAGTAATAGTATTTTTCTGAAATTAACGTTGACATCAGTGATTGGATGAGTTCTAATAATTCCAATGTTGTTATAGAACCGAGACGAAAAAGAACTCATTGTATGTACACCTAAATAACAGAATGCTTCTATTCGATCTTAGGGTTGGTACAGTCCTTAAACATTTTCCCGACTATTCAATCATCAAATCATACCACTGTAATGTCATATATATCGGTTATGTAGATGGTTATTTACTGACCACAGATGATTGCAAATCGCTAGTTTATATAGCCCGATTTCACTGTGGCCCTGACACCAGACTTAGACATTCTGACAGGCAGATGTCTGGTGTGCTATCTGTTAACATGTCTACATTAAGTCTGGTGTCAAGGCCAGAGGAAACGCGGGCTATAGTTTATGCTGCTTTGTCATTTAACTCACAAAAGTCTACTGTATGCTACCACTGTCACTCTATTGAAGCGTCCGAGCATTTAAAACAGAGATGCTACGCCAGCCTAAGCATACTCAATTAATTATTTACTTTCAACGACTTACATCACTCGAAGATGGCAAGTGGGTGGGGTTGCTAATTGACCAGAAAATGAAAGGTCTATTATTATCATTATTTTTTATTAAACAATAAATTGGGTGGTTTTTTTTGTTTTGTTTTTTTATAATTTATTGATTTGTTTTGTATGATAAGAAAAACGGATATTTTATCATTTCGCTTAGTGGAAAGTTCCTAAGGATAATAATACTATTAACGTAAAAAACACTCATCGTCACTCATGAAAAACATATGCCATGACTAATTATTTTGTTTTTAAGATTTTGTTCTCCATAAAAATATATCCTGAACTACATGAATGGCGATAACTTTATGGTTCTTCAGATAAAGCTATTGAGCATAGCAAAATTAACCCGATGCAAAGAAATAGGTAACCTAGTCTTTCACATCGTAAAAACAGACGGGCAAAATTATAAATCAAAGAGATATGGCGGGTTGCTATGCCTATTTCCCCAAAGCTATGTTATGCTAGTGCGCGCATCCAACCGTGCACTGTTATGACGCGTCCTCGGGTATTTTTATACAGGTAGCAATATTGGAATCCCTTGTCTAAGAATAGATTATTGTAAAAAGACCACATATTTGGTATTTCGGCATTATTTGTTGGTGTTTAGCACTTGATATAATTACTATTGCCAGTTGGAGGGTAAAACAATTCATAAATTTCATCAAAAACAGTCTTACCTACAAAGCGTAGCTGTACTGTACACGTGTACAGGGATTTGTTGGCATGCTTCGATAGAAGTATGTCGCACTAAATATTAAAGAAATTATTACTAACAAAACTGATAAATCAATAGGTATGTTATTAAAATGAAAACAAAATTTTCCATCGATTTAAAAAAAATATTGCCTTATTAAGGAAAATGATCAAATGCTTTAAAAAAAAAAAAATGAAGGAGGATTCGAACCTGCACCGTAAAATTTCTAGTCGCAAGTAAACTGCGTTACACATTGGGCTACATAGAACATATAGATGTTGGCAATTACAAACTTATTTAACCCGAGAAACACCGGTCGCAGTTTAGAGAAACTTGATCACCCCTGTTTTTCATTATTTTGAGCACTTTACCAAAGGAGGACCACTTTTCCGTAATACGATTTGTTTTTGCAAATTACATCACGGTCACAAAAAGTTTATTCAAAAGTTGGTCCTCGTATGGGAAAGTGTTGAAAGTATTTTTTTAAGTCCGGGAAACCCCATCACTTTCATAGATATAGTGTATATGGCTATATCTGCAGTATCATATTAGCAATACCTAATTTCTCAGCAGTTTAAAAATTCATATTCAATTGGTTTTGTATCTTTTGTATGCATTTTTGCTACCCGAAATGTTTTACTCCTTAATTTTTTTCCCCGTTTTTATAAATGCCGACTTAGGGAAATACGGGCAGTTTTCCGCCATACCTTTTTATATAAAACAATAAAAGATGAGGATTTGACAGACCTCATTTAATAAATGAAAAACTCGAAGGCAAAATCAAAGTGTTTGGATAGGTAACATGACGCAACCCGAATTGTAACGCTTCCCTAATTGGTACACTGCCAGAAAATGTTTCATTCGTACTTTGGAATAAGATTGGAGTATTATTCTCTTCAGGTATAATAATTTAAATATTTGCCAGTATTTCTACCAGACAGTTTTGCATTCAGTAATATTTACAGTGTGCTTTGACTTCGAAGAAAACATGTCAGAAGACTAGGAAGTATAACTTTTATGAAAATCATAGTTGAGATATAAATATATGTAAAATTTATTAATTTTGTTGCAGTCTGCACACATTTATAAATAGATATAAACGACATTTCCATAGCCAGCGATATTATGTTCCAGATTGAGTAGGTTTTGTTAACGATAAACGGACGGGAACCCACTCCAAATTCAGTGCTACAATTTAAGAAAACAGTTTACTCAAAGCGAACATTTAAAAAGTCCAAAAACCAAGAAACATTTCAGAATTGTGGTTTGAAATTAAAAAAGGAATACTCTACCAATTAGGTAAGATTCACATTTGGTATTTCCTTTACCCATTGTTACCATCTTTCATGTCGGTCAAGAACGGTCAAAGTCAGCGTAAAAACGTTAACCATAGTAGAAACCGTCTCCTGGTTGGAATTCCAGTCATCCGGCCATACAGATTCTTCAACAGAAGTGAAAGCTGTTTTGTATTAGTTGTCAAAACGCTTCAAAACAAGGAAAAATAACTGATATTAAGGACAAGTTCTATAGTAGTGAATCAATTATAATATACAATTTCCATCCAACATGGGGAAAACATGCATGTCTTACTACCTGCGAAACAAAAGAACTTTGATATATTTAAATGCAAATGTGTTTTAACAGTAAAAAAATATATACAAATTTACGGTACCACACGACATGATAATAAATTGTCATATGACTATATTCGAAATAAACAGCATTTTTTTCACTTTCCACTTTTAAAGAACATACGTTTGATACAAATGACCGCACAAGTCACGAACCAGTTCATGATGATAAGATATGGTGACTTATTATCACACACATGAAAAATAGGCCGAAGTATCATATAATCAGCCGTTAAGGAAGTGATTAAAGATGATTGTATATGATAAATGTAGGCACGGACTTAGATATCTAATCTTGTTCTCAACTGTAAGTAACCTGATCACCACGATAAAGCATTAGATAACGCATTGCACATTATACTGCCTATAAACGAGACACCCACTAAGGGATCGTCAGAATCCATCATACCTCAAGATGGAGAAATCAGTCCTCTCGGTCTGCTTGTTGGCCGCACTGGGGATAGTTCTGTGCATGTCTTCGTTAGACGCTGCTTTGGTTACTAACAAGTATGAAGACAACTTGCCAATCGGCAGTCCTAGCTGGTGTATCGATAAACTGCAGTCGTTAAATCTGCACCACTTTGAGGTCCTCCCGGGGGCTGGATGGGACAATCTGGAGAACAAGGCACGCGGTCAGGTCATAAAGCGTACCTACTATGAGTGTCGCACAACAGATGACGGTAAATTCCTCCTCCCAGATGGCGTGATCACCACACCAGTCAAGTCGAGCAAACTGAATGTCTTCTCGAAGATCTACTCATCCTGGATGGAATATAAGGAAACAACATCAGAATCTATCAACGTTGCAGCAAATTTCCATAACGAATTTTTCAGCATCGATGGCATGTTTTCAACGGAATCCCAATCCGTCAAGGAGAATCAAATCGGACAAAACACTTCTATCGTACGAACACAGGCGAGGTATGTTAAATACACAGCCAATCTGCAGCCTGACACTCCCTTCCATCCAACCTTCAGAGCACGTGTTATGGAAATAGCTAAATTAATTCAGACCAATGAAACTGCTGTTGCTCGTTACGAGAGCCAACGGTTGGTACGGGACTTTGGTACTCACGTTTTGACGGGATTGGACGCCGGGGCGGTGATTGCACAGATTCAACATGTCAGCTCTAAGTTCGTGAAAAACAACGACGAAAAAACAACACGTCGAATGGCATCCCTCAGTACATCGTTTTCCTTCAGTCCTAATGGTACGAATTCCTCTCTCAGTGAGCAGGAACTAAAGGAGTTCTCCAACAGCGTGGAACATTCCACCATTAAAACGTATGGAGGACCTTCATATCAACCGAATACTTTTAAACTTGACACCTGGGCTGAGGGACTAGACGATAACTTGGTCGCTGTTGACAAAGAAGGTACGCCTTTATACTATTTCATAACTGCATCCGCCTTTCCTGAACTACCAAACTACATAGTTCCTGGTGTGTTCAATCATATATACCAGGCAGTATATCTGTATTATAAGTTTAATACATATCGTGGGTGTACTGATGCCAATAAACCCAATTTTAATCGGAAAGCTAACGTGGAGGACGGAACATGCACTCCTCCTTCGACCAACTTTACGTTTGGTGGTGTATATCAAACATGTACACAGGACAGTGTTCTCAAACCTGACCACTGCTCGGAATACATTAAGAAGAATCCCTTGACTGATGACATGACGTGTCCTTCCGGCTACTCGTCTGTACTTCTGGACAATTCTGATATTACCAAAACAGATACTACTCGGGAATGTCATAAAGTCTGGTACAAACTATGGATAGGCCAAAAGTGCACTGATGTCCCAGTCTCTGGAAGTCTGCATGTTAATTCCTATTGGTGTGGGGCTACCGGTAATGTGCAACAACATTCGGGATACATGTTCGGTGGCCTGTTCACTCCTAATGTCGGCAATCCCATGACAGGGGGAAGCACTTGCCCTCCAAACTTTTACGGACTACCACTCAATGACGGTCTGACAATCTGTCTTACGCAAGACTTTGATGCCGGGTTTACTTATGCTGCACCTTTTGGAGGCTTCTTTACTTGTCACACTGGTAATCCCCTAGCAACCAGTGGGAAAACCGATCCATCTCAATGGTCAAAATCGTGTCCAAGAGGTTTCAGCAATCATCTTGCGCTTGTATCGAAAAATTGCGAAATAGAATATTGTGCAGTAACAAGAACAATATCCGATAAGGGTTTACCCTCGCTAAGGAAACCACCTTTCATGACGTATCCAGGTTATAGAAATACCGAAATGGCTGATATTTTCATCGACACAAAATCCAATACATGGACAAAATTACCTTCGAACATGCTGAAAGTACAGGACGCCACCTTGGATTTGGAAACGGCCAAACTTGTTTTCAGAAACAATCCAGAGTTTGAAGAACAAATGCAGTTGATAAATATCCCAACGATGCAGATGACGTATGCAAACACCAGTTCGGAAAGTGACAATTTGAACATTTCTACACGCGATGCTAGTATCAATGTTGAAACCACAATACAACGTGAAAATGCGCCAATCCGAAGACTTAATGCCGACTCGAGCCCCGATCTTGAAAACTCCCCTGCTTCAAAAGAACACCAGAATTTACCAAATGGGATGGTGGCTGCGCTCTCTGTGGTTACCACCCTTCTGTGTGTCTGCATTGTTGTCATAGTAGCAATGTACAGACGACGCAGAGAACGCGGGAGTGGAGAGACACAAACACTTCTTGGATAGGCGAGTTTCCAGTAAATCTCGCAAAACATTAGATTGTTCCTGGAAAATACAGGGACAATATATTTCGTTATATAACTGAGTAATGCTTTATATAATCATTTTTAAACAAGTGTTTGTAGGCTTGAAATATAATAAGTTTGAAAATTGTGAAGAAAACATTTTATAAATTGCAAATCATTTAAGATGTAGCGTATTGAAATTAAAGCACATTTTGATCACAACAGTTGTTGATTGTTTATCAATTTTTTTACTCACATCTCATGTCTTCACACTATATCGATATCGACAGATTTTTGAATGTAGTAATTTTACATTTCCTTTACTATCAGTGGATTCAACCATATGACCGAACGACGCATTGCTCTCTATAACGAGCCGAGTTCCCCTGGACCTACATTGTTCAAACTTCACATGTTATCGATGTATGCAAAAGATTTTAAATGATTAATAGGAATGTGTTTATTTTGCGTTTCACATCTCTTCAGCGGAGATCATGTGTTGACGTCCATTAAATGAAAATTAGGGAACTTGCATTTACATTTGCTTTAGTCAAAGTATGTACCTGATAGCTGGTAGAAAGAGAACGCTTGCATTGTATTGATGTAAATTGGTAAAAGGACAATGTTTCTGTTACAATAAACTGTGCACCATATTGTACGATGGTAGGTATTGTAAATTCAGAACAAGAGGCCAAAGGGGCCTTATCGTTCACCTTGAACGTTATGCCTAGCTAGGGTATGTATTGCTATGGGTTCAGAATCTCAACCATTTAAAAGTTATGGTTCAGAAAATAGGTCCCTATGGCTGGGGGTTTAAAAGTTATGGGTCAGGAATGAAGTTCCAAGGGGAGGGGCCAGACCCATTGATCAATTATAATAGCATGATTGTTTGTCTCTTGATGCCCTGCAGTGATATAAACGGTGACAGGGTGGGGATCTCAACAGTTTAAAAGTTATGGCTTTGGAATCAAGTCCCTAGAGGTGGGCCATACCCAGGATCAATTCTTATATCATGATTTTTCTTGTTTCTTGATGCTCAGCAATTGTGTACATGGTGTTAGTGTTCAGATTACGATAATGTCAAAGTTAAACATTCTTTTTGGCCCAACCCCTCAGATCTGGGAAACACTCCTTAAAAGGGTACACTTTTGAATCATCACCGTCTGCTTCCAGCCAGTTATTGTTGATATCCGGAAGTTTGTTCCACAGAAGTCTCTTAAAGCAAAGTTTTGAATCCCCACCACCTAGGGATGCTTCAAACCAAAACTGGTTGATATCCTTCTCCAAGTCCCTTAAAGCTGTATGTCCAAATTTCACCTTTTCGGCCCCATCCCTTAGTCCCTTGGTGGGCCAGGTCCTCCATTTGTATAATTCAAATCCTCACAACCTAGGGATGCTTCTAGTCAAATTTGGTTAAATTCCAATTAGCGGTTAAGGAGAAGTCGTTTGAAGAAATTGCTGATGGACAGACAGACGAAGCGGTATGGTGGAAAAACTAAACCAAAAGCATTGTTTTGTGCAGTGGAATCATTTGTATCAAAGAAAAGAAAAATAATCAATTTATTTGCCATACATTGATTTTTATTTTCATCTCTACATGGCACATACGCTATACATTTTATACAAATTTACAGTCAGGCACATTGTGCATGTTACAGTAGTAATTTGTGGCTGGTGGTTTAACATATCAAACATGTCATTTAAGTTTAAAAATCCCTTGTAGCATTTGAAATGCAGTCTTGATAAGTACAACAGATGCAATTGTTGATATTGATATTGTTTGTCTCCGGTGTGCAGGAAAATAGAATGTAGCTTACTCAGGTTTTGTATAGCGGTGATAATGTGTGAGGTTTGTTAATTCTAAACCCCTGTGAACTATATTTTAAATATAAAATAGAGAATATTTTTTTTAAATAGTAATGTAGAGGAAAACTACAAGAGGCTGAATGGTTCTTAACTCATTCACCCCTGAAGACACATTTAAACTCTTCCAATTCAAAGGTAGGAATAGTTCATTAATAAACTTAAGGGGTGAAGGTGAATGAGTTAAAGCTCACCTCAGTGATAGTGCAAATAATTGTACAGGAACCTGCCTGTAAGTGATTTTAACAAACAAGTTTGATTTCTCATCTTGGTTTTCTATTATCTCATAGACAGCAATACTCAGTTTGATCCTTGTACTTATCATTAGTAAATGTTTGAGTCACAAATATGTTAAGATGGCAGATGTGGTGGTCATCTTGGATTTCAAATTGAGCTCGAAAAGTAACAACACTAAATCATATTTATCAGGAATTGCATTTTTCATTCAACTTTAGCTAAATTAGCAACGTAGATATTAAGTTTAAAGTTATGGTGTATATGTACGGAAAATCATCCACAATACTCCAGGGATTATGCTTACTTATGCTCTCTGCAACCCTGGAATATGTTATAGCAAAATTGAGCTATTTGATTGGTCTCGGGTAAAAAAAAATCTGACCAATCGCTAGGTTGATACTTGTCCTTTGAAGATTACAGAGGAGCAACAACCGACTTCACAGCCGGACAATTGATCGTTAAGCAACGGAGCAAATTTTTTATGTTCTTCAAAGGATAAAAAAAATAGTCTTCTTGTCTCATCCACAAGGTGCCTCACACTGAGCTTTCGATTTTGTCATGACATTTTCCAGAGGTGTAGAGAGCGTAAGTGAGCGTAATCCCTGAATTATCCAGGATGACAGAAAACAGATAGATCACCATGGTCATCACCATGGTCTTTGACCAAGTAAGCTAAAAATAAAGATTTGTTTTCATGTATGTATGCAGTAAATGTACTTGATATTGAAGCTTAATGACTGGGAGTGTAGACTATGCATATCAATTTGCTTCATATCACAACAGTGGAAACCAGCATAAAATATAGCCCACCCATGGATCATTGGGTAAGGGAGATGGGTTCTTTATGTTGAAATTTGTATCATACAAAATTTATACAAATTGCCATTTCGCATTCCAAATTCAAATTACAGAGAAAGAAATGAAACAAAATATGATCTTCATGTGACCGTAATAATCATTAATTGTATATTAAGTAAACACCATAAGACATTTAGGTAACATTAAAAATTACATACTGTCATCTTACGAAGAACATTTCTGAACTTACAAGATACCATAATAAAAGACTCTTTTTCACAGGAAAATAAAACAGTCATCTGGTATTTTTCTAAGCCCTTTTTTGGAGATAGAAAGAAACAGACATTTTCCCCTGCTAAATTTTGGCAAATTTTCCAATTGAAAAAAAAAAATCAAATTACACACAAAATACAGTTTTGAATGTGTGTATTATTAAAATATTTGTTAACAAGTGCAAAATTTTCGAAATTTTGAAAAGAAAAGTGACCCTGTCAAAAATAAGCAAGAAAATCCCTGGCGATAGGAATCAGACCAAGAAAAACCCCATCATGATTACACTGGGAGTTGTGTGGGGAATGTTACGTGGCAATACAACCAAATGGTCTCGGGTGTACAAGCATTTTGAACAGATGAATAGAGATCTTTTACAGAAGATGTTCATCCCATGTTTATGCATGACTGACAGTTTTTTCCCATACCCCTGAAATCTCCGGTAACTCATGCTGAAAATTTAACAGTGGCAGAGTTCTGACATACTAAGATAACACATCATAAACCAGGAAAAGTAAATACAGAGACAGATAAAGATTGTTGTAATAAAACCGTACATAATACTTGTAAACCAAATCCAATGAAATCAAATTAAAAAGTAGTGAAATTTTACAATACTGTTTAAGTGACATTACTCCAAAATGTAGGAATAAACATATTTGATTTTTTTAAGTGATCTTTAAATACTCCAATATCATGTTAGATGATACTATGATGTGATTTACCAATTTGCCGTAATTATCGCCCATCCTCCTACAAATGCCTCTTCCCCGGGGGGGGGTATTGAAATTCTTTAAATCCCTCCACATCCCAGACCTTACCAGGCTCGGTCAATGATTTACAGTACTTACACTTTTAAAGAAGAGATTTATGTCTGGTGATCTGTGAAATGGATGAAATATTTAATTTCCACACTTCCATCCACACTCAAATGTCTATACTGTCCTTCTTTTAAACTGTAACAACAGTTAAAGTTGCAAAACTTGTTCTATCATATATGACTCGCATTTTATTATCCTAATAACTTAATAAGCGTCCCCATTTATAAAATATTTTCTAAGTGCCCTGGGCGCTAATTACAGCAAATACAGCAAATATAAGTGCTTCTAATAAAAATGTACAGTTCTAAATATTTTATCAACTGAATAATATTCATTTTATTGTCGTTCTGAAACGATACCAATCCTGAGAAAATTACAACAAATTAATATTATCCAAGGAGGTAATTTCTACTACTACACTTCGGAATATCAGATACACAATGTAGACCTCAATCTTATTAATATGAATACCACTGGCTATTCCAGCTTTCCTGTCGAACGATTACTCAATGAATATTCAACAGAATTTATGGAAGGTATTCCACACTTTGCAATGCCTGCAAAATACCATGCAATAATTAAATAATTTAAATTTGACAACTTGGTCATGAGTAAATGAGGTATGATAGGACTTTAGCCACTGTAGACCATAACGAATGCATCCAGATCAATGCATGGTAAAGTCTACTAAAGTTACATAGGGTTGAAAGGGTTAAAGTCTGTAGAATATTCACTGAGCAATCGTCAAAAGTCTTCCGCAAGAAGAGTAGAATAGATGGCAGTTTGTTTAACTTTGTTTATATCCTTAAACACATTGGTCCAGCCATAGTTCATTTATATATTACCAACATTTCAATTTTAAATATCACACTCTATTTTCAATTTTTGGACTGTCCTGCAGGGCCCTCATTATGTCAATTATTGTACTGTACAGCAAAACTTTTCAATGGACCCATCATTGTGGGAAAACGTATGTACCAACAAAACATTGGCCATCTAACACATATTCCTATATTCTAACCAATCACAACTAAGCCATTCAAGAACTCTGCAATCTGGTAAATAATAAAAAATAAAAATAAATAAACTGACATCATTGTAAAGATCCTAGATAATGATAAAACATATGTAATTGTTTAAAGCATAATATTGATAATATAGTGTATTGATAAAGATGGAGCAGAGACCATTTACTCAAACAATACAACTACTCAATTGTTCAAACTTATTCTACTTTTCATGGAAAATGTTAGCACTTAGAAAAAAATACAATTACTTAAGCTTTCCATCATTATGAACCAAACCTTACATGTATGACTTTGACAATGTTTGCCATGGTCCTAATATATGGGAACTGGTTATGTAGTAGAAAGTGATATCAGCCTATAGCAAATTAAGGAATGTTTAAAATAGTCTACAGTAAAGCACCAAAGCAGTCAAAAAAAATCATAAAACATGAGGTCCATGGGGGCTGTATTGCTCAAATGGTTCAACCAATTACAGACTGTAGTGACCATGTCCTATTCTGCATTAAACTAAACAAATAACAACAACACTCTACTAGAATAATATAAGGAACATGTGTACCAATTTTCAACACAGTTGATCCCCCTGCCCTGAATGTTGAACAAGGTAATTTAGTTCGACAGGCTTTCACCCAAGCAAGCTAGATACTATATATGATGATTCAGTTGATGATTTGACCTGTGACCTTAAATGTAGGTCAAGGTCATTTTATTTGAACACCCAAGAATGGTTCACAGCAAATAGCATGACTTTGATTCATTAAAAAAAGGTTGTTTGAATTTTTTAAACACATTTGACCCCAATGCTTTGAATGAGGGTCAATTCATTCATTTAGACCACATTAATAGCCTTTCACCCCAGTATATTAACATGCCACATATCATGACTCTAAGCTTTATGGTTCTTGAGAAGTAAGTTGATGAATGAAGCTACATCATGTGCTTGTGCCAGTTAAGCTAATAACAGTTTTACTCTTTTTTAATACCATAATGTAAAACACAGGAAGCTGCTGATTTGTTCATGGAAGTTTTTTATGAAAATATTTACTGAGAAAATATGTACTTAGGTAATACATTCAAAGACTTGTTCAAAATGTATCCTACGTCGAGATCTTTGCTTTTTAAAGGGGGACTGAACATGAAGTCAACCATGCAGTTTAGAAAACTTAACAAGTTTTAGAGAACACTCAATAATGAAATGTCAACTCATCCAGATATTTCAACAACATACACACATAACCAATGTTTTGAACTAAAGATTAACCAAAACTCATAACGACAATGAAATTCCTCTCTCCCTAAATATTCTCTCTTCAATGAAAGTTCATTCTCCTACCGTTAAATCCCTCATGAAAAGTTTACCCTTGAGCATCCACAATGCGAGTTCACCCTCCCAGTTTTCACAATGAAAGTGACAATGGTGTCAATTCTTTCCCAGTATCTACAATGTACCCTCCCAGTGCACACAATAAAAAACAAGAGGCCCATGGGCCTTAACGGTCACCTGATATATTTATACAGAGAGTTGATTTTGTTTTTAACATGAACAGAAATATTATTCAAAGTGACAAAAAACAATAAAACCACCTTATTCAATATCAAGCATACAGATTTCAGACTAAAAAGGATTTGAAACTAGCACCTCTGATTCTAAACAAGGAAAATGAAGAAATTTTAGCACACTGACTCCCTTGAGCCCCACCCTACAGCCCTTGGGGGTAGGGCTGGCTCAAAATTTTCAAAGTATCAAACTGTCAACTCAAGGTTATAATTCCAATCAAGTTATTAACATGTAATA